TGCTTATTTTATTCATTTATGGGAAACTAATTAATTCGCATTGGACATAGGCTACAACTTATGCAGGCGAAGTCGCAAGGAAACAGCTAGTTTGATAGTGATCGGTTCAAAATTCAAGAAGAAATCGATTAACATAGGTACCTATTATCATAAAAAATATACACACTTCTTGAACATGGAAAATTCATCTTTCGGATTTTGAATGAATTCAAATACGAGGGTCAAACTGAAAGTTCTTAGAAAATCAAAAACTGATTACATTAGCCAGTTATTAGTTTTATTATATCTTTTCAAAATATTGTCCATTCACGTCAATACACCGCTGCATGCGATGGAACCACTGGGAAAAGCACTTTGCCCACTCGTCCTTAGGGGTCTCTTCAATGGCATCGCGATACGCAGCCACCGCTTCTTCAGCATTCATAAACCGCTTTCCTTTAAGTTTTTCTTTAATTTTTGGAAATAAATAAAAATCACAAGGCGCGAGGTCGGGGCTATACGGCGGGTGACCCAGTAATTCAACGTTTGATGTCGCCAAATAGTCGATCGTTCGCTTGGCGGTGTGCGACGAGGCGTTGTCGTGGTGAAGGAGGATTCTACTGCGAGGTCGTTTCTCTCGAACTTTTTCCAAGACAAGTGGCAAACAATTGGTAGTGTACCATTCTGCAGAAACTGTTTTTTGATCCTCTAACACAATTGTTGCAAAATGACCTATCCTTCCAAAGAACGAGGCCACCATTTTTTTTCCCGCACTTCGATCTCTCTTCACTTTAGTTGGCAACTCCTCGAAAGGAAACACCCACTGAGCAGATTGTCTTTTGGTTTTAGGATCATAACAGTAAATCCAGCTTTCGTCACCTGTTAGTATGTCGAACACAGCATTTGAGTCACCTCCGTTAAATCTTTCAATCATTTTACGACACCAATCCACACGATGGAGTTTTTGAGCCTCAGTCAAATTATGAGGTATCCACCGGGCGCAAAGCTTCCTGACCGCTAAATGTTCGTGGAGGATTTTGTGCACTTGACTCATACCGATGCCTAAGCTTGTCCGAATCTGTTGATAGGTCACTCTTTTGTCAGTCTCTATCATACGCCGCACAACACAGATGTTATCTTCAGTCGTCGCCGTAGAAGGCCGTCCCTCACGTAAATCATCAGTGAGATTAGTGCGACCACGTTTAAACTCATTAAACCAGTTGTAAACAGTCGCACGAGATGGGGCTTCATCGTGAAAGGCCAATCGTAGTCTATCATAACTTTCTTGTTGACTTAAATGACATCGAAAGTCATAAAAAATCATTGCACGAAAATTTTCTCGTGTTAAATTCATGATGACGTGACACAGACAATTTTCAATTTGCCGCCAAATCGTAAAACAAATGACAAATGAATGAAATATATACTCAGTAATATTGGCAAAGAGTTATATTTTCAAATTTTAGAATTATTTTTTTATTATATTGTTTATAAGTGGCCAGTTCTAAGAACTTTCAGTTTGACCCTCGTATTCTTAATGAAAAATGCCAGGGTCAAGTGGATGTTAATAAAAAGATGGATGCTTAATGGCAGATTTTTAATTAGGATTAGCTTAAGACTTCAGTATAGCAGGTCACATGGGCGAAGCTTCGGGTTACAGCTAATTTAAATATAAGTGTTTCAAATTCTGATGTCTCTTATAAAACTTTTGGTTTTTTAAATTATTATAGAGATTTTAATTTGTAATCTTTTTCATGAGGTTCCTAAGGAAAATGATTTAAAAAAAAGATATCTTAAAAAATTGGAAACATGCTCTACATTTTAACTATTCCTATGATTTTAAATGGCATATTAGAATTGAGTTTATAAAAAATCTTTATTATATTTGACATCACCCATTTACAAATGCATTGGTTTCGGAAAATCGTTTTATTTTTATTATAACGATTTGACATGATTTTTTTTTTTATTTAGTGTTGCTTATAGAAATGTGATACGATTACCGATTCTGTTTATCGGAAAAAAGTTAGGTAATATTGATTTGAAGTTCTATAAAGTGATAAGTAATTCAAAATGACAATACTGATAGAAAAAAATAAAAAAACCTTATCATTGATGAGTGTACGCTCACTAGAAGAGAAAGTAATAAGTAGGTACTTGATATATTCGACAGTCGATAGTCTCGTGAAATTCACCTAGTTAGCGAAAGCTCCTACATGTTTGAATCTCGACTCAAGCACCCTGAGGTGCGATCGCTTCTCGAGTCAGATATTTTGTTTCATTTTACTTTTTTGACATGTTCTTTTGTGCATAAAGGACTAATTTTGACCATTAAAATAGAAGAAGAAGAAGACTAATTTTGACATGTTATTTTTACATAAAGGACAGGTTTACACGTAATTAAGTGGATAAGTAGTAAGAAGATGTTTAAATTAATTTTAAGTGTATGCGAGTGAAGTACGGGTAAACACACAAGCAAGAGATTAGTAGCAAGTTAATATTTAATTCTAATTAAGCTCATATGTAGTTAACTAAATTTAATCCTTGGAAATTTTATACAAATTCACATTCTTTCATTTGTACACATTCACATTGAATTTAACTTCTTAAAGGTTTATGTCTGTAGTGCTGTCGATTAGCTGGCTCAGTGGCGTAGTGGATAAACTGCGGACCGCAATCGTTGTTGCTAAGCAACTTATTATGTAAAGCTAATCTACATTGGACCAGTGTAAAGGGTTATGGATCATTCTCCTTAACCATCCATAAGGAAGGTTAGCAGTGAGGACGTAAAAGGGCTGATGATGATGTCCCGTCGAATGAGCCTAAATTAATGTTTTGTTTTTTTTTTTATTAAATGATTTCCTTGTATAACAAACGGAGGGTTGGTAACTTCATCATACTTTAGTTTTGTTGTTTATTTATTCTAATATTCGTTTGTAAAAGGTAATCTTCAGAAATACTGATCCGATCATAAAAATTATTTCACCTACGGGAAGATACATCACGCGTTGGTGACCATAAGGTATAATTTAAGTGCACAAAATCGCGGGTTAATAGCTAGTTTAAAAGTTTTAAACTACTCGATTTGAAGTTTTTCTTTCCCTCTCTTCCAAGTATGAACTTCCATATTTTAGATTTAATTAAAATGAGCTACTAATTAGATTATTTACGAGATATCCATACAAATTAAACTTTTTAAAATAAATTATTTACAATAACCTGTCGTCTGTCAATGATGATCGGTACATATGAAAAACATAAACTTGAATTGAGACTTTCTTATTTTCAAAAGTCGGTGATGAAAACCTAATTGTCTCCAATAATTTACTCCACTTGCCCAACCAAAATTAACAAATCGATCAGATAAAGTATATATTCTTTTCGACCCAATTTTTTTTCGTAGTTATCAAATAAAATTGGAATGTATAACGCAAACTAAAATCTTTCAACAGAAAATAAAAAACCGCGTTCTGCTCGCATAGTTCAGCATTATTTTAACAAGCAAGCCCAAAAGATTTTAGATGTCCGAATGTATCGCAACGGTACTTTGGAATGGCCCTACAGTAAATTACCAACGCCATTTTTAAAAAGAAAGTAGATATTTTCGACGATGAGTAAAAATAACTAACAACGACTTGCATCGTATTTACGTTATTTATTGTAAAATTTACCTTATGGATTACGAATTAAAGGAGAAATTACGTTGTATCTACGCATATAGAAAATACAATAAAATATCAAATCTCTTACCAAAAGTAGGTGCAAACAAATGACGCTATAATTACAGACATACTATATTTTTAATTAAGTTGTTAACACAGTAGTGTGTGTGTAAGTATATGTAATTAGTGAAATGCTTAATAATCTACAAAATAATGATATTAATGAAATCTGTAATGTTAATAATCAACGTTAATATAATATCTATTGAAATTCTATAAGGAAACTTTTTTATTGTTTTGTTTAATACAATCAAACTAACTTATGGTGCAAAATACGCTGTGACTTGAACTGAAACTATATAACACAATCATTTCATTAATGAACTCGGAAACTGCTGAATAGGTTTTTATCAAATTTCACATATCTGTAATCTGGTCTGATTTAAAAGATATTATAGTTTTTATCTCGATTATTTTGAAAATAACGAGCAAAACTCTAATTTCATCTATTATACTTACTGAGCCCTGTAGCTGGGTTAGCTAGTATATAACAACGAAATTACTCGTTTTCTTAATCATGGGACTTAATATTTTGCAAACTGATGTTGATGACAGTATTCGATGAAAGTTCTTTTGTATTACGAGTAGGTGAAACGACTAAGGAACAAAGTCCATTTTCAACAATGTTCCGACTGAGAATTGAACCCCGGACGGGAAGGACGTGCAAGCCTGCACTGGCGTCGGAGATCTTCAATAGTGGCTGACTTTTAAACTTTCTGTATGGGGAGGAGTCGGGATTCAGAAAGGAGCCCGTCGATTCAACCCCACTTTAGGGCCCAATGGGGAGCCCCCCTCTTGCGGGCTGAAAAAAACCAGGTCAACTGGGCGCCGCAGAAGAAGGGGATGCGCTAATACGTAAATCATTGATTGTAGACAAAAGTGTCCTAGCCTACTTGGGTTAAACCCATAGCTGTCCTTTCAGGTCCCTTCGCAGTAATCTCCTGCCAGGGCTGACTACTAGCTCACTACACCTATGTATATAATTTTCATTCGTTTGAAACCGTATGATCAGATAATAATCCGAATGAGGTTTCGCTTGTTTGAAATGAAATATAATAAGCTTAATTAGAAAAAAACTAAGAATTAATTTAAAAAAAAACTTTTTGCTAATTCTATCTACGTATTGATTAAGAATAATGTAAAGTACACCTTAATAGGTATGTGCTTATGTTTATCATTTCATTAGTGGGTCGTCTTGTTATAATATTAGGATTAAAGTTAGTACCTGGTTTAAAGTATTTAAAGATAAAACGGTTCGAGTCTCGCTTCAAGTCTTATGAATTAATTCTTTTGTTACAGATGCTCTCTGAATGGTTCAAGGAAATAGCTTACAAGGCTGAATTGGACCGACACGAAGATCCTGATTTGGAGGAGCAGGCCTTCTTACTATGCGGCGAGAAGAAAGAAACCAGAGCTAAGAACTTACAGGATTTGAAGAATTTAATATACGGTAAATTCAAGAAATACTTCAAACATCTTCAAACAGTCTGTTATACATGTTCTTATTTAACCTTATCCCATTTATTTGGGTTCAAACTTTCCTTATCTTCTAGGCATACAGCATGGCTCCAATCTGCATTGTTGCAACAATTGTTAGTTCACTATGAACCGTTGTCGTCCGCCACCTGTTTTTGGATTTTCCGCATCATCGTGGGTATATTTAGACCTAGTGTCACTATACTATACTGAAAAGTCATGAAGACGCTTCTGATTATCTCCAAACCATCTTATCTAACATGGGATGCAATCTTAAATTTATCTCAAATATATTTATATTGATCGATAGGGTCTGTATGTGGCATACGGCAACGATATCTGCGGGCTAATTTGATGAAATGTCTGACAAATGAAAATTAATCACATAATTACTACCTACCATGTGAATAAACACAGTAATAACAACTTTCACTCTTTGTATATGTCCAATACAGTAAACAAAATGAAAGATTTCGCATAAAAGTATGTCGCGCGCGAATGTCTTCAAATATCGAAGTGTCAATTTTAGTGTTCCACAACCAACAATATAAAATTAATATTATTATGTTCATATTGATGAGCATGTTGCCCTGAATATTTAGTATACCGAATATAGATGTCATATGAATAGAATGACACTTTCTCTCGAAAACAGAATTAAACAGGACTATAAGTTAGATATTACTATAATATATCTGTCAATCCATAAGAACCTGAGTGATACACTAAATATTATAAAAACTAAGCAAAATAAAAACTTTAATAAAAGATTGTCTCTAAAATAATAATTGTCTATAAATAAACGTCTTTGATTATCCATATCTCGGACATAATCAGTATATTTAATATACCTACCCATTCTATACTCAACTATGGATCGATTTTTCTATTTAAAAAGGTTTCGTCAGCATAATTATGTTTGTAAATGCAACTTAGAGACACATGCGGCCCCCAAGCTGCAGGTTGCCGACCCCTGCATTTAGCTGTAGCGAAGAATGTACGCAAGAAACTCCACACGAAAAATTTAAACGGCGATTCTAGTATATAAAGCCAATATGATTTTCACAGAAACATCTAAAAAGTTTTAAGACATATGTACCATAGTCATTTTGGAGTTTTGTTGTATTTATAGAATGTATATGACTTCCATAGCTGAGTGGTTCCCAACACCTGTTTCAAGGTATCGCCATCTCTGAGGTCACGAGTTCGATTCCCGGTCAGGTAAATGTAGAAAATGATTTTCTGTATTGTCTCGGGTCTGGGTGTTCTGTACCTTCGTTGTCTCAGATACTGCATATTAAGAAGGCTTAAGCTACTTATCTTGGAATCTGAGTAATGTATGTGATATAATCATTTTTTTTTTATTTACATTCCATATAAACATTCTATTTTATCAAATAACACTTTCATAGTTTTACGTTTATATCAATTAACTTCTGCAAAATGACGCCTGATTTTAAATAAATAAAAAACAATAATTTGTATATTTAACTTCTAATTTTAAAACCTTTTTCAAATATGAACAGAAATTATGAATGAATTACTGCTTTTTTTACGCAAGCTACGCTAACGACCGTCTTGGACAGCAATACACGTTTGAGGTGAATGAACCGTTTTACCTTTTTTTGAACGGCAATCAACCTTATTCATATAAGGATAAAAAAGTAGCAGAGTAACAATGGCAAAAATATTTTCTCTCTCAATTACTTATTCTTTAGATTTGATTATAAAAAATTTAATATCACATAATAAACCTTATTTGAACTAAAGTTTGGTTAAAGATTTAGTATTGTCACCAGTCGTGATTTAGACAAACAACACTATTTAAAAAAAAACCATAAATAACATATTTAATATATAAGTTAATGGAAAAACATTTTAATAGAATATTAACGTATTTATTGACAATATCAATAAAACGTAATTAAATAATGGATAGAATTGGCGAAAGAGAGTTAATTTGCAGTGATCGCATACCTGAAGCAATGAGAGCACAGAACAATATACTCTACGATGAATGAGAGATCGACGTAATATTAGGTCTTTACCTATGAAACTGCCGTTTTTCATAAAATAAGTGAAGCATACTTTTTTTTATTTCTATTAATAAAAGTAATCACCATTACAATCAATGCATTTTTGCCAACGCATTGGTAGCTTATTGATGCCTTTTTTGAAGAAATCAGCTGGACAACAACAAATTCTTTAAAGGCATTTTGTAGTGCCTCTCGAGTATTAATTTTTTTCTCTCCAAGAAGTTATCCAAATTTCACAGTACATCTGCAGTAATACTCATTCCGTTTGGTAAGAAGTTATGATGAATTACAGCCATGTTAGACCACAGTGATCATCACTTTTCTAGGAGTAAATTTTCTTATAGGGCATTGTTAGGGAGCTGAACTAGGGTCTTACCAACTTACTGAGCACTTAAGATTGTCGAACAGGATCCATTTCTCGTCATAAGTAACAATGCAGTTCAGTATTCCATCATTTCTATGCCTGTTGAGCAGTGCAAGGCACGTCTCGATGCGTACTTCGCTCTGGCGATCTTTGAGTTCGTGAAGCTTTTTTGCCTTGCCAATTTGATGCAAATGGACCAATATTGTTTTGATGCTAACGTCAAAAGTTGCTGCTAATTCGGCCGTAGAATGAGTAATTGTTGACGAAAGTTTTCGAACAACCATGGTATTCATTTTTCAGGTCAAAATTTCCAGAACAGGAGCGGGCAAACCAATAACGGGTGGTGCGTTCGTTTATAGTGTTTTCTCAGTAAACGTCGTCGATTTTGCGTACTGCTTGTGCCGCTTTGCTGCCACAACGGTACGCATACTCCATAATTACTCGAATTTAGTGTTTTGTTTTGAATGCGCTGAAAACAAAACACTAACTATTAAATAAATGACCATTTTAGAAAAACGAATTCCATGCTTTTAGAATAAAATTAATTTGAAATTAGAATTATCAGTAAAAAAATAATGATTTGAAATGGACAGCACGGCAATTTCATTAAACAGCAAAGACCTATTATTAAAAAATCCATATATATTGTACTATTTTTTTGACATTTGTATCCTTTCGCTACCAGTAGCGAAAGTAAGTAAAGAAACAAAGAATAAGTAAACATATCATATTTACTTAAAACTGTGCAACTAGAAATTTTGCAGTGAAAGTTGTTTCTAGATTTATTCACAAGTATTTCTCATTTATAGCAAGCCCATTGTAAATTATAATACTTAGAATTTAGTTCATTAACATAGAAATTCTAATGGAAATGTTTATAGAAGTCTATAAATACATTTAAATAATAACGCCCACTTCTTTTGAAAGTTTGAGCATTAGAAAACCAACTGAAATAGATACGATTAATCATTGTATTTATTGTTACTGATCAATGGATAACAGAACTGCAATATTAATATATTTCGCTTGATATTTTATAAGCTTTATCTTAGTAAAAAAATTGCATACAAGTTTAGTTTAAATTTTTCTTTATTTACATTACAGGATAAAACATAGTTACATTTTAAAGTTTTTACAGCATTTGTAAACCACGAAGGTTTATGCCAATGTTGTTTTCATTTATTATATTTATAAAAATGATACATATTTTCATTATACACTTAACACAGACATGGTGTGCCTCCATTTTTTAATTCTATTTCATGCAAAGTTGTTTAAAAAGTGTGTTTTAAGTTTTGTTTTAATATTACATACTTATACGCTGCAGTGCGTTCGCCATATGTACGAGTATTTTTCGCACGAGCGGTACAAAGCCGGCGCTCGGCAACTGCTCTAGTAAATACAGAATGTTGACGTTCAATAAGACGGAAAGTAGAAACATACAAATATAGTTCCCTTTCCTTTGGATACGGAATCTTAAAAGCGACAATGAAAAAGGATGAAAAAGCTTTTTTCTCTTAAACATTTGAAGACATAAAGGAATTTGATCTTTTCAATTTCAATCTCGGCTTTGGGATAATTGGATAACAACCAGTTATAATCCTGTTGAGTTTTTTTTCCAACGGATTACTAAATACCGTCGGAGGTACTGTAATTAGGCCCCAACCGCCAATTACCAGCGGCGACTTTAGCAACCGTCGCAACTAGTTGATAGTTGTCATTATATTTTGGTTGCTAATTATTGTACATTAAACATTTAGGAAATGCTAATTGTTATTTAGCTTGTTTTTACAATTATGTCGTACTTTTGAACTTTAAGTAATGTTAGTGTTGGCGTAGCAAAATTGCTTGCATTCCAAGCTTTTTATAGCATTCCTAGCCTAAGCAATTTCAGTGCCGGTGTTATGAGCGATATGAGTACTGAAATATTAGTGCTAGCACATCTGTGAGACCCTTGATTTTTCCTTGAGAAAATATGTCAAACTTCATATATCATGATATCGATGAAAATATTTGGGGCACTAACTACTTGTTTTGATGCAGACGTGGATCCAGAATTTTGTCTTGTGTTCGAATTCATAATTTTATATTTCATAGTGCTCAATTTGGTCATATCAATCACAGGACAATATTCGAAATGTATTATTATAGTTGATTTTATAGCTCTCGAACTTTTAGGGAACAAGCAGTGGTCTTCTTAGTGGACACTACATCACTACGGTCTTACAAATACTAAATCAATAGTTGTAATGTACTTACGTATATACTCGTAATTCAATTCCTATACAATTGTGACAATTGTCAATGTTGCAAGCTTTCGTTGGTAACAATAAACGATCTTATTTGCAACATTTTATTAATTGTTACTATGGCAATAAAAAAAGAACTAGATCTATTTAAAGATACGGTTTAACAAAGGGTACAGTTTCACATTTCACAATTCGAAATCGCACGCTATATGACCATTGAAATCGCAGGGAAGCAGCTAATAACTGTTATTTTTATTTTTATCATAGATTAGCTGACGCAACAGATAAGGTTCCGCAAGGGCCGTTTTGTTTCTATAACAGAGAC